GTCTCCAGAGAGTTTGGAGACTTCAAAAGAGGAAGATGATGGCCTTTGCCCACATAATTTCCAATTAAATAATGGAATTATCCTGTTTACAATCTTTCTAGAGATCTGAAAATACTACTAATCCTTCTTGTGAAAGAGCTATGAAAAGCTCTCTGATCAAGACAGATTTTGATAGAGAAGAAGAGTGTTACCTTAGAATTACTAGAATGTTACTAGAATGTTAGGTAGAGGGAAGTGAAGGGAGAAGAGGGGAGGTGATGTGGGAATAGGAAAGATGGTAGAATGAAACAGACATTATTACTTCATGTATATATGTGACTACATAACCAACATGATTCTGCAACATGTACACTCAGAATAATGAGAAATTATATCCCACCTATGTATGATACATCAAAGTGCATAAATATGTTCTACTGTCATGTATAACTAATTAAAACAAAAAAAAATAAAGACAGATTTTGAAAAGTAGTTCCTTGGCCATGTTTTTGCATTAGGAATAAATTGGTGATCCAAATAGATTGAATGCTCAGTCTCTTAAAGATGCTCTAACAATATCTAGCAGCAAGATTTTTTTTTCTATAGGAAAACAAACAAACAAACAGAATTTCAAGATGTGGACTTTTGAGTATTATTTAAAAGGCACTGAAAAGTCCAAGCAAAAATTAGATTTTACCAGACTCCAGGAGCAGCAAGTTGAATCAGCACTTATCTAATAAGAATCCATATGCAAAGAATTCTTGAGGTCCTATCTCAGGACACAAAAAACAAGGTAGTTCAGTGCATCACAGTGGGGTCAGAAGCACAGGCAGTCTGCAAGAGGACCTGCTTTTTATTCCCAGTGTTACCCATGAGCAGTTGTGTGATCTCAGGCAAGTGACTTAACACTCTTAAGTTTCAGTTTCCTCATCTGCAAAGTGGGAATACCAATAATTATAGTACCCTACTCTCATCCTCTTAGACGTGGTTGTCAGGGTTATTGGAGCTACTGGATGTCAACTTTCATATCACCCTTTCTGGTACATAGTGAGCCCTGATGTGCACTAATGATTATTACTATTGGTTTTTCTACTACTTTTATTATAAACCAGGGATTTTCTTTAATGCCAATATATTCAGGATGGTCAAGAAGAGCTTTTCTGGGGGAAGAGAGGGAAGGAGGTTGTTGTACTAGAATGTTAAATGTGTGGATTTAAATTCTTCATGCCCTTGAAGTCCTTTACCTGATATTAAACTTTCTCAGGGACTCGCTCCTGTTCCCAAGTTCCCATAGCAGCTATTTCCCCCACACATACTTTGTCAGCTTGTTATATCCTGTCTTAGAGTTTCCTTAATCTTTTCATATGCGCAATCTTCACCTCACAACCAGACTATAAATTTATCCTGGGTTCACTTCACACCATCTTTTTTTTTTTTTTAACCTCTCAGAATTCAACACACTGTACTCATGAGCCCCCAAATGACATTTAAGTCAAGGGACTGTATTTATGATGGTGCGGTGGTCCCCTAAGATAACATCTCTTATGACATCACAGCCCTTCTAGTCTGTGTGGGTTCTCTCTATGATATGCACACAATGGTGAAACTGAAAAATGCAGTTTCAGAACATACCTCTATCACAAAGTGACAAAGGGCTGTATATACGGTGGATAAATAAGTGAGTGTGAGAATGTGTATGTTACTCTTAGCCCTTTTGTCCTTCTTCCTTCTCCTGATAATAGCAATGAGACTTGTTGAACTAATGATAAAATCTCTGGTTATTGAGTGAGTGCTTCCTGTGCCTGGCACTGAACTCAACATTTAAAGGCCTTGACTTGCTGGAGCTCAGGAACCTGTGCATTTGAATGGTTGCTGAGAGAATTGTGAAGAGAGCAGGGAAACTCAGGGATGCTTTGCATGGCCCTGGTGACTCAGTCAAGTTTGGAATACCTTGAGACAGCTCTGATGAGTTTTGTCCTTGAAGTGGAGATACCAGCCTCCATTGCTTTCTTCAACACAATCCAGTTAGTGGCTTTAATGCTCCTATTATCAAAGTTTCCCAGAGCAAAGATTTGTGTTTGCGTGGGTGGGTGGGGGGAATGTCTCAAAAGAGATTCTTAAGGAAAAGGGCTTCTGCCTTGTGGGGGGACAGTTTGAAAGCTTCCTCCTGGTGTTTTTGATATGTCCTTTTAAGTAGACCACAACCCACATTAAGAAAGCATATACATACATCACATACACATCTCAAGGGCTTTTCTGTAACAATGCACATGTTTTGGCCAAGGAGGCCCACAGATGCTTTTCCATTCTATTTCATTCTTTAATTAAAAATGATGGTTGTGACAAGAAAAATGGAATTCTGTCATTTGTAGCAACATGAGTGGAACTGGAGGACATTATGTTAGCTGAAGTAAATCAGGCACAGAAAGGCAAGTACTGCATGATCTTACGGATGTGTGGAAGCCAAAAAAAATTGATCTCAAAGGAGTAGAGAATAGAATAGAATAGAATAGTTACCAGAGGCAGGGAAGGGTGTGGGGGCAAAGGGGATGGGAAGAGGAGGGTTAGCAGGTAAAGGGGGCAGTTAGGTAGGAAGAATGTTCTGTAGCACAGGAGGATAACTATGGTTGACAACAATTAATTGATGGTTTCAAATAGCTTATAGAGAGGATACTGAATGTCCCCAACACAAAGAAGCAGTAAATGTCTGAGGTGATGGATGTACCAAGGAGCTGAGTCTAATCATTATACAGAGTCTACATGCATTGAAATGGCATACTGTACTCCCCAGATCCACAAGATTACTAAGTGTCAATTAAAAATAAAAATATTACAAAACTAAAAACAAAGCAAATAAATATAAATCATCATTGTGAGAATGTGGAGAATTTGAAGCCCTGATACTGTATACTGTTCATGGGAACATAAAATGGTCCGGTCTATAGTAAACAGCTTGTCAGTTCAAGGACATTAAGTACGCTCATAATTTTGTGCCAACACCACGACTATCACCAAAAACTGTTTCAAGATCTTAATTACAGAGTTAGCCAATGCCATAGAAATTCATTCCTAGTTATATATATCCAAGAGACATGAAAACATATAATCTATACAAAAACTTGAATATGAATGTTAATAGCCACATTATTCATAGTAGCCAAAAATGATAACTGAATCTCATAACTGACAAATGAATAAGCACAATGTGATATATCCATACAATGGAATAGTATTTAGCAATAAAAAACGTATATATGCTACAACCTGAATGAGTCCTGATAATATTCCACTAAGTGAAAGAAGTCAGTCGTGGAAGACCACATAATGTATGATCTCATTTATATGAATAGTTCACAATAGGCAAATCTATAGAGACCTAAAGCATTCGTGTCTAGGGCTGGGAGGGAAGTTGAGAGAAATAGGGAGTGACGAAAATGTCCTAAAACCAGAATGTGGCGATGGTTGCAAACTCTGTAATAGACCAAAACCCTTTGAATAATACGTTCCAAAGGGTAAATGAATATATGGCAGATGAATTGTATCTCAGTACAGTTGTTGAGAATGATGGTTGTGAGCCAACGAACTGGTTTCACCACCCCAGATGGACCACAGTGCTGCTAAAAAAAACTGTTTTGGAGCAGGCTGTCCCCTCCTGGGCCCCCGTCCTGTCCTCTTCATGAGAATCACACCTGCAGTCTCTGGGGGAGGGTAGACAGGCAGTTGGAGGGGGCTGAGCGTGTGGGAGAGGGGTGACAGCCACCTGTGCCACCATACCCATCGTCTTGCTCCACTGCATTTTCAGCAGCCCAGGCCTGGCTAAGACACTCCACTTCTCAGCCTTCCTAACAGTCTTGGGGCCAATGAGAACAGAAACCCCTGGTGAGGTTTCTGGGAGAGATTTTTATCTCCAACTTAAAGAACTGTGCTAAAACATATATAATATAAAAAGCGATCATCTTAACCATTTTTAAGTGTACAGTTCAAGGGTATTAAATACACTCATGATATTGTGCCAACACCAGGACCATCACCAGAACTTTTCGTCTTGCAAATATGAAACTTTGTACCCATTAAATGATAACTTTCCTTTCCTCTCTCCCCAGCCCTCACATATGGTTTTGACTACTCTAAGTACATGAACTAAGTGGAGTCATGCAGTATTTTTCTTATTTCACTTGGTATGATGTTCTCAGGGTTCATTCACATGGCAGAATTTCATTCCTCTTGAAGGTTGAGTGATAGTCCATTGTATGCATCTCCCACATTTGGTTTATCCAAATGTTGATGGACACTTGGGGTGCTCAAACCTTTTAGGTTTTGTGATTAATTCTGCTATGAACATATATGTACAAATATCTCTTCAAGCTCCTGCTTTCAATCCTTTGGGATATATACTCCGAAGTGGAATTACTAGATCATATGGTAATTCTGTTTTTAAGTTTTTGAGGAACTGCCGTATAGTGGCTGCACAATTTCATATTCCCTCTGATAGTGCACGGGGGTTCCAGATTCTCCATATCCTCCTCAGTGTCTGTTATTTTATTTTTTAAACAGTACCCATCCCAACAGGTGTGTCAGGGAGAGATTCTTGGGTGTGAGGAAGTGACTCAGTGGTTGGTTTTCCCTTATTTATTTTATTTTTTACTTCCTGCCTTGAATTTGAACATGATATCTCAGTCCCCAGAAGCCAACTGGGGTGGAATTGGCACAAGGCTGATGAAGGAAAGGTCAGAGAAGACTGGGTCCCATCACCTTGGTGGCTCACTTTTGGGCTTCTTACATGACTGAATCCCTGCTTTGCTGGAGCCCACTAAGCTGAGCCTCTGGTTTTAGCAACCAACAAAACTTCTAAACAGCATGCCACCCAAATGACCCAAAGAGAGGTCTGTTGGATTAGGAGCTGAGGCTAGACCCTTCCAGAAATAGCAGCGATTCTCCCACCCAGGCCTGCCCCCATCCCCTGCCTTCTGGAAGACTTCTCCCCAAGTCCTATTTCCATAGGGAACTGAAGTGTCACGTACCTTGTGATTTTAAATATCCTCAGCAGCCGGACGCATCTCAGCACAGAGATGCCCAAGGGAGACATGATCTTGGTCTCCACTAGGATGGTCTCCAGGATGCCCCCACACACGATGAAGCAGTCAAAGCGATTGAAGAGGGACACGAAGTAGGCCTGCAGGCCCAGGCTGTACATCTTCAGGAGCATCTCTGCAGTGAAAAGGGCCAGTAGGGCCTTGTTGGCTGTGTCTGGCAGTTTCAGGAGAGAAGTGGGGTCCAAGCAGGGAGGTGAAAGGGGAGCAGAGAGGGAAGAGGAGAAAGTAATTATCACATCTGGAGAAAAAAGGCCCAGCATCCCTCCCTCCCATGACACTTCTTCCATCCACTCCTTCCAGAACAAACAATTAGGGCCAATCCAACAGGAAAGGGATATCTAATTAAATCACAATAAACATTTATTGAGCATCTACCATGCATCAAAGGCTTTGCATGCATTATCCTGTTTACCCTTCACAAAAATTCTGTGAGGTTTGGAATTATTATAAAGATGAAGAAAAAGGTTCCGAGACCAGTAATCCGCCCATGTCAACCAGGCAAAAGTTAAAACCAGGCTGTCTGAGTCTGACCTTTGAACCACTAGACTAACTGCCTCCAGGATTCTGGAATGCAGCCCCCTCCCTGGGATTGATGCTGCCTGGTGGACTCCCTTCTAGTGGTCCAGAACAGGGTGATGGGGCCTAACCAGTCACTGGGGACAGTTCCTTGGGTTCAGGTACTATTTTTCTCTTCCCTGTTTTTTTGCTCATCCCATCCTGATGTATTCGAGGTAAGGCCACCTGGAGGTTGTAGTAAGGCCTGATGAATTCAAAACTCACTCTGGGAAGTTGGCAGCCCAGGGTCTCAGAGCATTTTTATCACCCAAGCCCAGCAGTGATTGTGGGGGCAGGAAGATGGTATGCCCCCAGTCAGGTAATAAACAGGTTGTGCCTTTGACCGTGTGGCATGTGAGCTGCCAGGCCTTGGTGTCTCCAGCAGGGCACCTGCCAAGAGCCACATCCACTGGCAGCTTGCCTGTGATTACCTCAGGACCCAGGGCTGAGATAGCAAGAGCTGACAGGGACAGAGCCAGGGGCCGTTGCTCACCTTGCACTTCGGTGAGCCAGTGGGGCTGGTTGTAATGTTCCGAGGCGATGGTGAGCGTGTTGAGGAACACCAGGAAGATCACGAGCCAATAGAAGACATTAGACTTGACTGCGGCCCGGCACTTTCTCCTGCAGAACCGATTCCATCTGCGCCAGTAGCGGCTGGAAAGGGGGCAGGGAGAGGATGGGGCTGGCTGTAAAATGCAGATTTCTACCCCCGTGAAGCATGCCACAGTGGCTTCTGTTCACTCTTAGCTGGCGGGGTCTTACTAGAGCAGAGCAGCCTGGTGGCAAGGAGACAAGGTCTCCATCAGGTTCACTGGGCTCACTGCTTAGTTGTGAGACCTTGAGTGTGCCCCTGAACTTCTCTGGGCTTTGGTTTCTCATCTGTGAGATGGGAACAGAGCCAACCTCACAGTGTTGTTGTGAGCATGGATAAAATGCCATGTTAAGGCATCTGGCACAAAGCTGAGGTGCTCCACAAATCAAAGTGTCTTTGTTTTCTAATAATGGCATTATGAGAAATAGTATTGCAAATATCAAAAAGAATTAGTAATAATGGCGGTGACAGTGATGGGACTAATAATGGTTACCATTAATGAAACCTCTGATATGCCTAGTACTGTCTTAGTACTTCAAAAGACTTCTCTGCAATTCTTTAAATAACTCTGCAGAGCAGGCATTATTCTTCTATTGTAGAAGAGAAAACTATGGGCCATGGGAGTTCAGCAGCTTGACCAGTGTTCTAGGAGCGAGAGCCAGGCTTGGCCTCCCTCCAGCCTGATCTCATGCCCCTTACTTTATGCAGCCTTACCATTCAGAGCAAGGTTTAATCTGCATCAGAGGATCTTTGCTTTTATGGAGTCAGGGAATTTGTGAGAATCTGATGAATATTTAGATCCTCTGTTTGCAAAACTGGGCACACCCCACAGGAACACACATTTACATAAGAGTTCATGCAGTACACAGATCCCCTGGTCCACATAGTATTCCTAGTCTCTTGATTGGGGAACTTTGTCAGTGATTCTCAAACCTGGCTATATCTAAGGGTTACCTTGGGAAGCTTTAAAAACTACCTGAAACCCTTCCTCCTGACCTCAGCAAAAAACAAATTCAATTTGATTTTCTGGGGGCTAGGTATTTTAAAATAGCCCCCAAACTCCACTGGTATTTTTACATGTTCTCCAGCTGGTTCTAACATGTAACTGTGATTGAGAAGCATGAAGCTGGATGATCCCCAAAACACATTCACATTTATGATTCTGTGACAACCCGTTTTTAATTTCATCCTCTTTGTGCAGTGAAAACATAGCTACATGGCTAACACAGTAGGTGATACAGTTAATAAATACCTACACTGACCCAGGAGAGAAAGCCGGGGATGCTCAAGAGGTGTGGGGAAGAAGACTGCAGAGAGCCACTCAGAGGGCTTAAGGGAACAGCATGTTTGGGTTTGATTTCAGAAAACCAAATGTCCGACAGACACAACCACACTGTTAACTTCTTCAGGGACGATGTGAGGGATGCTCTTCTAATTGTCCTGGTTGGAGGTGATGGATGTAGAAGCTTTATTAAGGAAAAGACACTGAGCTGACAGTAGCATTGAGAGTAGTATCAACAGGACTTGGAGATGACTGGAGTTCAAGGTGGGAGAAAGGGATGATGAAACTTTTAGCTGGGATGATATGGGTGAGTGGCACCCTTATCCAGTAGAGGGCCAGGAGGTCAGCTATGAGAAGGGTGGTGTGCTCAGCTGGGGACATGGGCTTGGTGTTTGCTGGGCATGTATGTAGACAGGCCACCAGGCAGGTTCAGAGCTTCTGCTTGGGAACTCAAAAAAGCATAATTTGGGAGTCTAGTCCATGAATATCTGTAAGAATAACTTTCATTGTCTAGTGTCCCTGGTCTAGGCTGACATTCCTCTAAATAAACATTCCATGGAGCAGAGATTTTCATTCCTCATACTGAAGGCCATTATTGAGCCATGAAAGTTATCTAGTTGGTCATGACTGGCACTGAGAAAAGGAACCAAATAGAAAATATTCTGAGACACACCATATCGTAAGAAAATTTTAAAATAAACAGTAAGGAAAAAGTTTAAATAAAACTTTCAGGTTGTATGTGTGTGTGTGTATTACTGGGACAGGCTATAAAAACTCACCTTCCACTTTAGAGCAATAAAACTGAATTACAGTCCTGTATTCTAAATCAGAGTCCACAGCATGAGTCCATATCACCAGTCTGGACAGAGATGATCAAGCATCTCAGAGTCATTTTCTCCATGGCGTTGTTATGATGGAGCATCACAGGTCATTTGTATGAAAAAGCTGCCCTGCAAATGGCATGTCTCATAGCAGCCCCCTGGGTCATGCAGCATTATGTGCAAGTGTGCCTGAAGTGGGCAAGGGACTGTTGTGTGTGCTACACGTTGTGCCCTTCCAGCTTTAGGACATAAGCCCCTTCAAACCTTGCCCAACTCCAGAAGTCAGGGACAACTCACATTCAGAGGCTCTGGGGATGTAGGCCTCTGTTCTAATAGATCCTTCCATTCACACCTTAAACTCCCTTTGGGGATTACTTGTCTTCATCTATGTTTCTAACTCTGTCCTTTGTCTACCTACTATCTGCAGAAAATCCCGTTACCAAGCTTTTGCTAAAATTTGTTACAAGATTAGATGAATACAGTTTGGGCCCAGGGGACAGAGGGAAGAATTAACCAGGGTGGTTGAACGCCATCTCCAGTGAGTAAGCAGGCTGACAGGTAAGGGGGCACTTACCTGCTACACTAGAGAAGTGCAATACTTTGAGAAAATTTGCTTCTAGTGAATTTTGGGATGATTTCAACCTCCAGACCAACTACCTTGGATGCGAGTTAGGATAGAGAGGGACAAAGGTAGGGACAATGAGTTCCACATAATCTTAGTGAAGGGTGAGTTTCACTCTTATTTGCCAGATTTTTTTGGGGGGGGGGCTACTGGAGATTGACCTCAGGGGCACTCAAGCACTGAGTCACATCCCCAGCCCTATTTTGTATTTTATTTAGAGACAGGGTCTCACAGAGTTGCTTAGCACCTCACTTTTGCTGAGGCTGGCTTTGAACTCATGATCCTCCTGCCTCAGCCTCTTGAGCCACTGGAATTACAGGTGTGTGCCACTGCGTCCAGCTTCTGCCAGATTGTGATACTGAGAAGTCCTATCATGCCAGGGCAAAGTTCTGCTTCTTTTTACATTTGTACTTATTAATATTATAAAGAAAGTTGATAATATATTTTTCTTATAAAACAAGTTTTGGGGACAAAGTCGTTTTTGATCTTAAATAGCTTACATTATATTTGCAAAGAGTATGTTTTAAATAGACACACTCTCATAATACAGAACTCAGAGATAATTGTTATTCAGAATCCAAACTAATCAAGGTTGCTTTCTTTTATAGTATGTAGAAACTGACTTTGAGTCAGTTTAATACCAGGAACTTGACCAAACCCCTCTTTTCTACAGCTTGTGGGTAACAGCTGTGGGGTGTTATAAGGTCAGACTTGTCACGTGGATCTGGAACTACTTTGCCCCCAGTCCCACTAAATCAGGCTGCTCCTGCGCAGAGCTGTTCAGGAGAGTCACATGGATTGGGGCTGGGGTGGGGGTGGGGGTAATTACTATCCAGAGAAAGTATTTAAAGATAATTATACACCTCCCACTCTTCAAAATATAGCTTTGCTTGACAACTGGTTTCCTGGCAACACTTCTTACTGTATAATAAATGTAATGGTTTATTAGAATGTGTAAATTTATTTGTGTGTTTACATATGCATGGAGGATATATAAATTAAATGATAAAACAGGGAGGAGAAATTTGCCTGCTATTCATGTTCCTTTTGCATTAACTTGAAGTCATTTAGTCTAGAAATAGAAGCTTCCATATGTAGACACAGGAGAAAAGGATGGATGAGAACATGTTGAATCTACTTCTCTAGACATCTGTATCACTGCACTCTGCTCCCTTGCCCCTGGCTTACCTTGCCTTCTCCCAGTACTGGGTCTCACTCCTGCCTCTAACTACATAGAACACTCTCCCAATGACTAGGGCCTCCACCTGCTGTCTCCAGTCTCTAGGTCCTGCCCATCCTGTAAGGCTCAACTGGAGACTTAGCTTCTCTATGATGAACTTTCCTAGTCTTCCCAGCCTGGCCACCCCTGTATCACTTGTCTGCCTCACTTTGGCCAAGAAACATTCATTAAACACTTACTATGGATTAGTGGATAATCAATAGTTAATACAATAACATAGTCCTCATCTGCCTAAAGCCCATGCAGGGGACAGAGGAATGAGGAGGCAACACAGCATGCTACATGCTGGGGACTCTGCAAACATGCACCAGGGCACATAAAACACATCTTAGCCAGCCATGGAGGATCCAGGAGAAGTTTTCTAGAGGAAATAACTTGTCATGAATTTGTATTGTCAGTTAGTTTTTATTTGTATGGTTCTTGCCTATCCAGTGAGATCATAAGACCCAAAAGGGGAAGAGACTGTGCCTTATACTTTGTTACAGACACACAGTACTTAGCACAATCTGTCCCACAGAGAGGGACATTCAGCTGACAGACTGCATGAGCTACAGAGACAAACAACATAGATCTACTAACTCCCCGAGGAGGATAAGGCTTAAGATCCCTGAACCCCTGTGACCCAGGGAACAGGGTGGGGTGAGGAGGGTTTCTCAGCCTGTAACTGCTGACAGGCATCTAGAGGAGCAGATGACAGGAAAATAATGAGCATGTCAGGCTCTCTCAAGTGGCCAGAGTAAGTTTCCATCTTTTTTTTTTTTAATCAGAATGAAGAATGGACAGCAGAGGAAATCATTAAAATAACTTAAAAATGGACAAAGATTGGGGCAAATGTGGGTTTGTGCCTTGTTGGTTATGTCATGACAGGAAGTACAGGGAACTCTGGGGACAAGGCAACATAGTCCTCCAATATTAAAAACCCATGAGGTTCAATTCAAAATTCTACATAGTTGAGGTCTAAAAACTCCAACAGGTCATCTGATGCATACTCCCAGGTTGCAAAAGACTCTCTGAATTGTACGTTCCAGGTCTGTTTGCATCCTATGCTGAACTCTTGGCCCCGCATGTTGCTCATTCTTTATTTTATCTAATTCCTATCAGTGGAAACTTAGATTACCAAAGGAATACCCTAGAATTGTTTTAATACCATAAGTCTGCTAATTTGCCAATTTCTCCCTAAAAGCCCAGTTCTAATAATTCTTTTAAATAAACTGTGACTTAATTAGACTTTGTATCATTTGGTCTTGCACATGAAACAGGCCAGTTTGAGGTTTAAGATTTATGTTACTGTTAAAGTGCCCCACCTAACTGAGGGAACAACGTGGGACACCGATAATCTTAGAGGCACTTCCAATCTATTGCTGGCCTCTGATATTCCCCAACCAAGCACCAACAAGAGGCTTCAGAACCTGAATTAGGTGGTTTCCCTTTGATATCTACTCAGAACTTCTAGGGTCACATTGTCGGGGGCAGCAGCTTCTAGCAACATGTGGCTTTTGTGTACTTGAAATGTGGCCAATACAAACAGAGAAGTGCAGTAAATGTAAAATACACACTGGATTTCAAAGGCTTAGCATAAAAAAAAAGAAATGTAAACTTTCTTACTAAAAATGTGTTGTACTAATTGCATGTTGAAATAATAATGTTTTAGATACACCACTGGTTTAAATAAAAGGTATTAAGACTAATTCCTCCTGTTTCTTCATACTTTTAAACATGGCTACTACAAAAACCTTTTTAAATCTCCTATGTGCCTTGCCTTATCATTTCCCTAGCACAATCCACTTTATGCCCAGGGTACAATAAGGTCTATGGGGACAGGGTTTAGTATTACTGGGCAGTTGATGAGCAGGATGGCACAGAGACTAGCAGCAGGGCTCCTGACTCAGAACTCATGTGGCTATACGTGGGCTGTGTGACCCTGGGTCCCCCTAAGCTTCAGGGTCCTTATCTGCAGGTAGGTTTAATGACTGTACCAAAACTACCAGTAATAGGCCAGTTGGGAATATGGAGTCCTTTCTCTGCATTTCATTGTGTTGAGAGTGTGGTTACAGAGGGAGAAATCCTTCAGGGATCAGGGCCCACTGGCTGGTAGAAAGCAGATTGAGAAAAGCCTCAAAGTGGAGCAGAGATTCCCTTTTTTTTCAAAAGCATATATTACATGATCAATCACTGGATTAACAAAATGGTTCCCAGAGTATCCACTGAGGATGTAACTGAAGTATGTAACTTTCTCTTATCCTCCAGATCACATTCATTCATTCATTCATTTACATGTAACAAGAATGAAATTTTGGAAATATTTTATCGCCCTTTACTTTATTGTGTGGGGGTTTTGGAATTGTTAAGAGCAAAACATGCTTCTCAGCTTTGGTTGTCAAATTAGATATTTTGTTTGAAAGTGTGTCCAGCCTCTTGTCTTACTTAGGCATAATTCATTTATTCACTCAGCAAAGATTTATTAGGTCCTTATTATGTATCAGAAATTTCTCCTCATGCTGGAGATAAAGCAAGAAAAATTCATGCATTATTGAGAAAGGATATTTCAAAAATGTTTTAGAGCTCTCCTTCATGTAATAAGAGCCAGATTCAATAGAGCTGACCTTAGATTTCTACATAAAGGAGTTTTTAGAGAAAGAGGCAGAGGAGGAAAACCTGCATTTCCCAGTCTCAGTAACATATGGGAGAAAGAAGTTATCAGAAAGGGGAGAGAGTCTGACACCAGAGTCCTCATTAAATCTTAGCCCTTGGGCACTGAGCCCCAGAGAGTTAAAGAGTCTTGCTTTAGAAACATTAGAAAGCCATCAGGGAGGCCCAGGGTCATGGGGCTGGTGGGTAGGCTCTTGAGGGAGAATGTCAGCCTTTGACTCAGAGCTCTATGTGACTGGAACTCAGGTGTGTGGAGGACCTGCTTTAGTGCTCCTGGCTCCCCATAGGACATTCATGGAATGTGAGTGACCTGAAGTATCCATGTACTCAGATGAGGTGTGAAGGTGCTTAAAGTCAGTGGGCCAATAGAGTTAGGTGTCAAAGAGCAAATGGGGAGACTTTAAGACTGGATGCAAGGGGATGGGGCCTGGCCTCTACAGATGGATGCGCAAACCAGATGGACCTGTTGAACCTCAGCGGGTGCCAGCTTAGAGCAGCTCAGACTAGCCTTATGAAGCAGAGCAAGCAAGAACCCAGAGGACTCCTGAGGAGTCCTCACCAAGACCTGTCTCTAGGATCTGGAATCCTCTTCTCCCCGTGAATCTATATTGGCTCTAGAGAGGAGCTGAACCAAAGGAAATCTAAGTGACTACAGAGGTGATCTCAGGGGACTGGGCTACATTTACCCAGCTGGCCTTTAATTTAGCATGGTAGGTGCTGCTAGGGAAGCAAGACTCGGTCGTGAAAAATGAAGATGGATATTTTTGGTACATGTGAGATTTGCAGGAGTCAGTTTATATTCTCACTCCACACACCCATCCATTCAACACACACTTAGGGGGCAGCCTAGAGCTGCACCGGCACTGAGTTGGACTCTTAGGGAATAATAGCTCTGAGGCATGCAGACAGGGCCTAGGTCTCTGAGCCAGTAATTGGTCAATGCGGGGCTAGAGGCATCTGCAAAGCACTGTGGGAATGGGGGTAGGTGAGTCAGTCTCCTCTGGGAGTGTGTCACAGATGCAGTAACTTTTGTTAAACATAGTCTGAGTTTTCCAGATGAGGACAGGGACAGGTGATTTAGGTGAGGGGAAACTTTGTGCAAAGGTCTTAATACATAAGAGGACAGAGAACACTTGGATAACTGCAAGAAGTTGTATGTAATTGGAACAAAGGGTATTTACTGGGGAAGACAGAGGGTGAAGCCAAAAGACAGATCGCAGCCTGAAGACCATGTGCCCTCTGGAAGGTTCTGATGTTGTCTCAGAACAGTGACTCAGAACAGAGTCATAATCCTCCTTGCTTACCACGGTCCTCAAGGTTCATCTCTCACCATGTTCCATAAGCATAAAGTAGGTCAAGAGAGTGGCAAGTGCTCACATGTTTATTTTAATCAGACTCTATTTCTTATAAGGGAGAGAGACGTTTGGTCTCAACCTCCCAGGGACAGCGCTGCTCAAAAGTCCCAAAGAATTCAACAAATCTCAATCCTGAATCATTTTCCCCATATGATCCATGAGGCCTCTTCTTCAGAACCTTACAAAAAAGAAAGCCATCGCCCCTTAGAAGAACACCTCTTTCTCTACCTGCCAACTAGCAGTGGTTATCCTGGGCCACCCAAAATGGTAGCTGAGGGCTAAGCTGGTGGGCAGAAGGAAGGAATAGCAGTATGTATCTCACTCACCTGAACTTTGATTTGGAGATCCGGTGGCTGAAAGAGAAAAAGGAGACATTACCAAAGGACAGACACTCACTTTTCTCCACGCAGAGGATGTTCAACAATCCCAGAGGAGTTTGGTGTCCTCAGTACCCTACCTGGGCACTGGAAGGATGTGCCGGTGTGAATTAGAAGTTGGTCAGAAAGAACACTATTTGGGGCATTTGAAGGTGGAGACTAAGGGTGGGCCCAGGTGACTGATGTCTCCTAAGTACAGGTGACCCTCCCTGAAAAAGGAGAGTCCCCTGTCCTCAGATCGTCATGAGGACAGTCAGTTCCATGAGGAGAGGTTGGGAAGAGCTGCCTCTTAGGCCTCTCCTGCACATGGGGGAACCCCACCGCAGGAAAATCCCAGGCAGGACACATCCGCACGGGCCTCACTGCTGTGTGCCAGAAGAACTGCCAAAGCTGGGCTAGGAAGGGAGACCAGCAAAACGAGCCAGCTTGGGGTGGACAGGCTGCTAGGAACCTGTTCCAGAGCTGTAAGGACAGATGTTAAAGAAAAAGCCACATCTTCTGAGGAGAAATCCAGAATGCTAACAGTCATGTGCAGCCCTGAAGACTGGGGGACTTTGGCGGTGTGATGAATGCCTCAAAGGGTCATTGATTATATGGGTGGGGGGTTTTATGGAAAAGTGGGACCTTCAAGGAGATCCTATAGATAAGGAGTCCAGGGGACACTAGGAGGGGACAGGAGGCAGGGAGAAGAAGGCCAGAGAGAGGTAATAAATGAGAAGCATGGAGGAGTGGGAGAGGCAGAGGGAGAGGGGGAGAGAGGAGAGAGAGAAAAAAGAGAGAGAGAGAGAGGTTTTGTCAGAGTTTGTTTAAAATTTACAAATTATACTTTTATAAAGTTAAAAGAGGTTGGAGGAGGGAGGGAGAGGGAGAGGGAGAGCTTGACTCTTAGCTTAATGCTAAGAGAAGGAAGTGAACACAGGCCAGACTGCAGGTGGTCTGACACTCAGATGGACAAGCAGAAAGACGGTGCAAATGAAAGATGAAGAGTTGGAGACAGTGGTCAGGGACAAGGAGCCATGTGGGGAGAAAACAGGGGAGGGGAGTCTGGGAGGCAATTGCTGCAAGCTGGTGCTGTCCCAGCAGAGCACAAAGCCAGCTGTGTCATACAGCAGGAAAAAAACCAACCCCTCTCGTTATTTTTTATTAAAAAAAATTAAACCAGAAGATGTGACAGGTGGCAAAGCCATCGTGCATGAGATAATGATATCTCTGGGGCACTGAGAATCAGAGCCAAGTGCCTTTACTGCTCAGAACCGTTAGCTAATGACCTTTTCCCACCCCAAAGACTGCCTGCTAGGACTGGAGGGTTTAATCACACGTTAACAAATGTATGGGAGGGGGACCAGGAGCCAAGGGCAGCATTTTCATTTAGAGCCACGTTTAATGGGGGAAACAAATGTTTTCCAGCTGCTAATAGGGTGATGGGGAATCCAGGGCACTGTTGTCTCCAGCAGTGCCACGCTGAGCTTGGGACCTTCAGTATCTTTCCCAGGCTTGCTTTTGGGCATCTGCCTCTCCTTGCAATAGTGGGTAACTATGGCCTCCAGGCTTAAGACTGTTTCTCTGGCATGCGTGTCAACGATGACCACTTGCCCTCGCTTTAAGTTTTCTCCTCACTTTTACTCCAAATGAGTCACAAGCAAAAGGGAGTTCTTAAGAGCTGTCATATGGGGAAACCTACATCTGAATGTCCACCTCCCTCAAGGAAATGACTCTGGGACACGGACTCAGGGGAGGATCAGGGCTGGGGGTGACTGCTTATAATGAGGTCCCAGTTCGTGCACAGTCATTGACTATGGGTCCTTTCCTAGCTTCCTGGTGTACCATGGACAAGCAGGAACGGAATAGGACTTTCTTGCCTGCTTAACTCCAAATCTTGATGTAGAAGCCTGAACACCAACTTGAAGATTGGTTTTCTTCTTGGTTTTTTTTGGGGGGAGGGGTTTGTGAGCATAACTTTAGGTTCTGTGAATCTGAAATATTCACCCTTTTTAAATATTGGCATGTTTTATAATTGATCAGTAGAAACACTCAGCCCCAGGTTACTTAGGCACCCTGCTGAAGAAGGGGCGGGTACTGCTCAAGGGGCATTTGTCTGGAGACAAGAAAAACTTCAGCTCTCTCTCTGAAAGAGCTGGACTTAGAACTCTTTGAATGTCTAAGGGCCTTGATTACTCTGTACTCCCTCTGTACAGAGGGCAGTTGAACGTGGAACCTCAGTTCACGAAAATAGAGGGACACCATTGCTTGGCAGTCTTCTGCCTCCTGGGTAGTAGCCAAGGGCTGGATGTTTGAACAGCTGCTTCCTTTGTGTGAGTAATTGAGCTAAGGGGTCGTGGGTGCCACCACTCCCCATCCTGGGCTGGGTAGCCTGTGACAAATGCTGTCTCCTACTGTCTCCCCAGGTTCCAAACAGTCCTTACAACAGTAGAAGACTCCAGCTTCCCCAAGCTCCAATGGGTCATGTGTGACATGCTAAGAAGTCTTCTTGGTTTCTCCATCATTAATCATCTAGCGAGGTGCATCTCCCTTCTCACGTTTTCAGTGGGCTTATGAAGAAGAACAAGGAGGCAGAGAAAGTCAGTAACTGACCCATGAGAGCGGTACTCCACTGGATAGAAACCAAAGTTCATTCAAGCCAAGACACTTGCTCTGTTCAGGCCTCCAGAACAAACCTTCTAGGAGATCATGATTTTCTTCTCTGGATGTTGAGGTTCAAAATTAGAGACAAATTGAAAACATTTTCTCTCCACTCCCCTCTGGACGTAGTTATTCAATTTGCATTTATCATTATTTGACAAATATTTGAACTTCTCAGGAGCTATTTATATTTCCAGCCTCTCTCCCTTTCTTTGAGTAATGAGCACCATATGTTTACTACCTGCTGTGTGAAATACTATTTCCCTGAATTGTCCCCAATTTGCCTTTAACATAAGTCAGATGGCACGCAGTCATCTCCACTTGGACAGAACTCTGACTCGGCCTCCTTAACTCCAAAACTTTGTCACCAGCACATGAATTCAGTATCACCACATCTTAGGCCTGAGCCTCCTCCCTTTCATAGCAACCAGTCTTCGCCCAATTGCTCAACCTTCTTCCGAGATTCCCAGACTGATACCAGACTTGACTTCTTGTGCTCAGCTTCATGTCTATATCACCCCAAATACAAGGCTGAATCCATACCACCTAGCCTTTGGCTGGGGCTGTGTGGCTAAACTCCACCCTGGTTCATCCCTCTTTCTGTCTCTAGCATTAGGAGGCTACCCCATTTGCCAGAAAATAGTGGAATTGTTCTGTGAAGCTGACTCTATATTGATGATGTTGGTCTTCACCAGAGCTTTGGCGTCACTCAGTAATCTCTTAGTCATCCCTTGGTGATTCACAAGTTTGAACCTCCTGCACTGTCCTTCAAGGTCCTACAACACCTCATCACCCTCGCTCTGTGATGAGATGATGGAGATATTTGGTGTCGTGCCCCCTCACCAACCCTCTTCATCACAGCCTGCTTCTGATTCTATATTCTTCATAGAACCTTAGGCTTTGAGGGCTGGAAGGAATCTCTGGTATCACGTGGACCTTTGGTGTGTGATTTCTTATCTGTGTAACCTTACTCATGTGAGATTTGACAGAGGACCCCCAATTTGTCAAAGAAATGAAAGTGGCCCCTGTAGGTGGTGTCATCCCCTTCTGGCTTTGCTGAGAGTAATGGTCCATCCAGCCCTCTGTTTCTAGAAGAAGGTGCTGAGACTCAGAGCAGAGCACTTTAGCTAAGGCAACAAGGCTGCTATCTGGTGGCTGATGGGGACTAGATGCCAGGACTCCAGATGCCAGGTAGGGTACCTCCCTCTGTGTGCATTTAGCATCTCCACCTGCATCTTGAAGTCAGCCCTCCCCTCTTCTTAAGAAATTTCTTCTATAAGTGCTCATTTCCTCTCCAGCTTCTTTAGTCTTTTCCTTTCCAGTGGCTTCTTCTTTGCCTCAAAGATGGCCCCAACGATGACAAAGTCAGCCCTCCACTTTCCATCTCAGCCTCCTCTCCCCCTTCGGTGGTCTCACTTCTTGAGTGGGTGCTCCATGCTGGCACATTTCTACCCCAAGACCAACTCCCACCATCAGTGCACCTTCAAAGCCCAGAGAGCAGAGCTCCAGGACATGCTGACCACCCTGACTATCCACCTCTGTTTGCATCTCCACATCTGGCCCGAGCCACCATCTGCTGGCACCTGTGTAGACATCATGACCACTTTACTCACGTGTTGATCCTTCCTATTCTTTTCATAACACTGAAGTGAAATGTCAAGAATGCAGAGCCAACCAAATTAACCTCCTGACCCAGCTTCACATTCCTAAAACCTTTCAATGACTTCTCACACTCTTGTGGCAATGACCCACCTCATGAAGGGTCCTATTTGCCCCTGCCTATCTCCTGCCTTGTCGTCTTCTGTCCTCTCACATATGCAATCACTATGCCCAAGGACCTGGGAACATGCCTGATTGGAATACTACTAGTCCCTACTCTTTATGTTCACCCTTCCAGTCTCAACTTAAATTTTAATTATTCAAAAAAATTTTCCTAACTCTCTACTCTAAATCAGGCCCCTCTGTTATTGAACCTGCATTACTTTTACTTTTCCTTCTTCATGTCTATCCCAATTTAGAATCACCCATTTATTTATTGAGTGTCCTTTATACACTAGATTGTCAGCTCCACTGAGGTGGCTTCTGTTTTTTCTATGGTTACAGATCACCATGGCCCAGCAGTAGGCTGGACACACTGTCAGATAGAGATTCAAATAGCTCAAATCCAAATGGGTGCTCAAATTCCTCTTCCCTCAGTTCCCAGGCCAGTGCTGTTGTCTGTTCTACCACAGAAATGCCCATTTTATTTTCTTCTTCCTATTCTGTGTTCCCCAAGATTCAGCCCTTGGCCTCCTGCTTTCTATTCTTTTGTGAACCCTTATTCTGTTACCTCACTGCTAATTCTACACTGATAACTTCAGATGTGTGCCTCCAGCTCTGCTCAGAGCTGAGCTGTGGATCTCCTTATCCCACTGTCTAAGTGATACCAGCAGATCCATTTTTCTTTTCAAACTTTGATGACTCCATTCAATTCCTCATCTCCTTTGTTCAACTGGCCCCTCCCCCAAAAAGTATCAGATTCTCTCCGGCCCTCTGGCCCCCATAGGAACCACCTTTACCCAGACCTTCTTGCCACGTAGAAGTCCTCATCCTTACCTCATCTCATTATAAGAGACTTAGCTTTAAAAATGCTGGGCTCTTGCCGTCTCTTCAGTCTCCTACTGTTCTCATATTATTTCTCCCATAAGAAACACTAGCAGAGTCTTACCCCAACATTGACTGTTGTGGGGGTGGGGTGGGGAGGCAGAGAGGTGGGGAAAGACCATAATCTATTAAGTGCATATTATAATTCTCGCACTGTGCTTGGGTATTTTGTATGCGCAGAGTAGATGCCTCAATGTGGACATGCACAGGAATAGCAGCAACCATTTCTATAGAACTCTTGAAGACTGCCGAGTGTATCCTCCAAATACAATATGTGACAGATAGATTAGAGATTGCCAGCCTCCTTCTACGGGGGATAAATCATGTTCTCCTTCCAACAGAGCCTCGCATGCTCCAAAAATGAACTGTAAGTGACTTTCCAGTGACAGGTTCCTGGTTCCTCCCGGTCTGCAACATGGGCCATGTCCAAATGCCAGAGTTGCAGGGTCCTAGATCATTGCCTCTCCAATCCTTCTCTTGGTGTCCAGATAACAGAAAGGTCTGGAATTTATGGATTCAAAGCCTTTCTTCTCCAGTGTTGCTATCTGGGGCCCTCTTCCAAAAACTCAAGTGCTCATTTTGTATGATTCCAAATGAAGAGAAGAGGAAAAAGGCTTGGACTGCTGCTTTAAAAATGTAATTAGCATCGTATTTTAACAACATTTTGACAATAATTGCTTCCCAACAATGCTGAGAAATCTGCAGTGCAGACTCCCCGGTGCCACTGTCAGATGAGCGTTACTGAAGCTCCACGCACCCTGAAAACAGGCTGTAGAGCTGGTCTGGTCCACAACCTTGTTTTCATTTCCCCATCTTTGGCGTGAAGGCCATTCTCAAGACTGAGTTGTTGTGATCAGGGTCACTTGCAGCTCACCTTTTTAAAAGGACTAGGGTTTGTCCCAGATACTGAGTCAGGCCAGAGAGGAAGGTGCTATTCTGCTGGTGCAGCAATTTAGAAAGACATCTTATTTGGGACTGGTCCTTCTCAGAGCCTTCTGTTTGCAGTTCCTTCCATTGACCACCATGAGTTTACGGCTCTTATATTACAAGGTAACAAGAAGCACAGTCCCTATCTCCCAAAGAGGGGGATGCCTAAATGGTCTCAGAGGCCTCCTGCTCAAGGTCAATATGACTACCTGATGATGTTTTCAATATGCACTTGGCCTTCTGAGGTGCTGGTAATTAAAACAAGGAGGTTTTTGTTTGCTTGTTTTTAGCAATTAAACCGTTTCCCCTTTATTATCTATTTATTTATTTTTGGTTGGGGAGGACATTGAATATGGATGACTGGTTTCTACTTTTAAGATTATGATAATCCAAAAATGAGCAATGCCCCTGGAGCTGCTCCATCACACCTGGCCCAGTTCTAGGTCAAAGTCAGCCCCCAGAAGCCAGAGATTGGGATTTGACTCAGAAAGCAGGTAGGGAGACATCTAAGCACTGACTTTTGTTGGAGGCGGCCAACATAAGGCTAAACACAAGTGAGCTTTTACTTATTCAAGATGGTGCTTCAGGCACTTGATTCCCTTCATTAGAAGGATAACTTAGCATTGTCCATGAGGACCAAAAAATATATCATGTAGTGGGATAGTTTCTTCCTTGTTTGTATTTCTTCCAGGACACATTTATCAGAATGGAAAGCATGGTCAATGGGTCCCAGGGAACCTAAACAACCATCTCTTGTGTGTAAGGTTATGAGAGGAAATGGAGAGAAGCAAAGTCCGTTTGCTCCCTCCCTAGTCTGTATTTCTCTGAAAAGATGAGTTGGGCTCAAAATCTGAGAGTCCACCCCTCACAGAAGAGCTGAGCTGAAGGCTTCAATTTTTGGACTCATCCCCATCCATGTCTGGGGCTATACTCCACCCCAGGGCCCTCTTCTCTCAATACAGGCTGTCACCTGAGGTTCATGTTCTAGTCTCTGCTCCTCCAGTGATGAGCCCACCCATCCTGACTTTAGGAGCCGCCTCCCTGCCCGTACCCCAGGAAAATCCCCAAGTGCCTGGGTTCGCCGTGCCTACTCACGCCAGCCTGGCCCCGCAGTTTTCTCCTTCGATGTCACCTCCAGCCACATTTTCGGTGTTGACGGACTCGGTCTCACTTGTGGGCATACTCACTGCAAGAGCCAAAGGACACAGGGAAAGGCATTGGGGGTGGGAAAAGGAAAAGGAACAGAAGAGCATTAGTGTGTGACACACAATCCTGGCTGGGAAGAAGGCGCCTGAGCCATCTGCTGGCCCCTCGGTGGGATCCAGGCCAGCTCAGGAGTTTCCTTGACTGATTACCTGCTGTTAGGTAATCTAGGTAATCTGGCAATCAGATCATTTTACCCTAGAAGACACATAGGGTCAGCCACTGAATCTTTTCTCTACCCTCAAACCTGCAGCCCCAGAATAGCTGTGGAAGTTTTCCATTTGCCATAGAGAGGAGTTTTCATGAAAAGACTTTTTTTCTCTGCTTTCCACCCGTCAATTCTAAGGGGCTCCATTCTCAAGATCAGGATCCAGCTTTTATTTGTAGAAAGGACATTTTTTGATGCTGCAGGAACTACCAGATAGATCTGAGGACTTCCTTATTCTGGCAGTGCACGCTGATCCTGAGTCTGTGATTCTCAGGATGGTACCTGAAATGGCAAACTTTAAGTGGATGGGCACTACCAGAGTCATGTACTGAGACTCACACTAGCATCGTAGACATTAGGAATGGAGGCGCTGGAGTGTGAAACCCACAGAATTAAGTTTAAGTGTGGCTTGAGGACAATCTGCAGGGATACCACTCCACAACCCTGCTTCCAGTAATCCTGACATCCCCATTCCAACAGGTTCAACCATCTAATTTCATAAGAGCCAACCTGGGCAGCTTAGAAGAAGCCATTTCTTTTATTGTTGTTTATTATTCTACATTAAAGTTTGACTCAAAGAATTCTGTCATCTTCTGTCACCTTTTTAATAGGACAAGAGATTCTTAATTTAGGCAATGCTAGTTCTTTAGGGTGGCTGGTTCAGCTCTTCCAGATTTTCTCATCTGGTGAGATAATCACTAGCCCTCATCAGCCACAGAATCTGCAGTTAGTGAGGGAGTGACATTGGGTGACAAGTCTCCACAGGGCTGCCACAGATCAGGAAATGACTCCTGGTGGTTATATAGATAATACTGTCAGGCCTTGACTTTCCTCAGTTTCTTTTCTTTTGGATGAAGACAAGCCAGGTGGGTGAGAAGAGACTCATTTCAAGAACATGGAAGATACAAATATAAAGTCCATGACTTGCCGTATGCTTGACTGTCAGGTAGAAAAGACTTCTCCAACCTAGGACTCCCTTTCAATAAAGTTGGGTAAAAAGAAATCCAGGCTGTGTTATTCAGCTCTAACACATCCCCTCATTTAACAGGAGAGGCACATGAGGCCTAGAGGAGGAATGTGATGTCCAAGGTCACATGGTGTGTTTGGGACAAGACTGGGCCCAGGGTACAGGTGTCAGGCCCCCATATCATGCTCATCTTGATTTTCCCGGTGTTGACCAACCCCCTGCTCTACATGCTACAGCAGTGAATAGCGCCACAGTAGTGTTGAGTTGTAAAGCATTTACATTCACTTTATAGCTCCAGATCAGAGGGAGCTGGTGGAAGCAGACCTTGGGTCTGGTTTTACCACTGGGAGCTTGGAAGACAGACCTTCAGAGCTTTCTAGAGTCCTTGCTTGGTCCATGCTAAGGAAGAGGTCATAAAATTGAGGAGCCTTGAGTTTTTCTATGCATTTATGTCCATCCATCTCTAACCACAGGTTCCTTTAACACTCCAGGCATCATTGTTGGGAGGACTAAGCTGTGTGTGGAAAGACACCTGACTGGGGGGCACCTGACTCCCAGAGAAGCCCTTATGTACCTGTGGAGTGTTGTGACAATGGTGGTGTGAGGCTTGGAAAGACAACAATAGTAGTAGGCAGTCCTGGCTCTTAGGAGTAAGTGTATCATCTTCCAAATCAAGGCACTGCCTGCACCAGTATCAGTTTTGCTTTTGCAGTGGCCTTGATTTTAGCTGACACTATCCAAAGGAAGGGCTGGCTCCACCCAGGAGTAACTGCTGCTGGGTGTCTGCTGACTTTAGACACAGGAGGAGGTGATGAGCCAGTGGCTTTGAGATGAACAAGTTCCCATCCCCTCACAAAAACATACGTATGCACAAACACATACACACAAATACATATACACATGTGCGCACATACACGACTACCACATCACAAGCCATCGAGAGAAACACCCTCCCATCCTGTCTGGTGTGGACCAACACATACACACACAAAGAGCACAGGGGCACATTACCATGGGTTTCTGTGGAGTGACTAAACCAAGCAAACTTCCCTTTCTTCTGATCAAGCAAGCCCGCTGGAGTGCCTCCTTTCACAGACAAGATGGTCAGTGTCAAGAACCAGGAACAAGACATCAATAGAGAACATGCAGTCAGCCATGGGCAAAAGAAAGAAACAGGAACTCAGCTTCCACATAGAGCATCCATTTTCAACTCCAAAAATTAACCAAAAATAAATAAACACATCAATAAATAAAAGTAATAGACCAAAACATATAAGAAAATATGGCAAAATAGAAACAAAACCCCAAATCACATGAATTAACAACACAAAACAAATGGTGAGCTCTGAGTAAAACCAATGCTATCCTTCATATCTACTTTGGCTTCAGTCTGCACTGTACATCTAATGAGTGACTCCAAAGTGAGGACTTCCCGGGAGGGGGCTGCCAATCACCCCTGCTCAAGTAGGGAAACCGTTAACAGCAAACTGCAGCACTGGCCTCCACCTTCACCCACACCCACTGGCCAGTCTTCTGTATTCTTCTCCACGTGGGACCATGTCATGAAACTCCCACCTGTAGTGGACTCCAGGGCTCCCTCACCGTCCACAGCTGGATGTGCCACTTACAGGTGGAAAGACGACCTGTTGACTTACTTTCCCCTTCATCCAGTTAAGTCATCTTGTTCTCTTCAGTGAAGATCATCAATTGACTTACTCCGATCACATCCAAAAACATGTATGTATTTGCTTATATTTCTTTTCACAAATTTTATTTTTATTATTCTTTGAGCAATATATTCATTTTATACACTTTTCTTTCTTTCTTTCTTTCTTTTTTTGGATCTGGGGATCGAACCCAGAGCTTGTGAATATGAGGCAAATACTTTGCTACTGAGCTACATCTCAGCCCCATTTTATACTCCTTTTGAATGGGCAATACGTGTCATTTTTTGTTTTCTTTTAAAGGGAGATAATCGGAGAGTCTGCTTTAATATAGAATAGCTAAACTATCTTTTGTATCTACTTTTATTTATTTTTAAAAGTCTGCCATAGGGTAATGCAGTATTTTATTTATTTTATTAGGAACTAATATTTGAAGACATTTACAATATTAATGGAACTTTACCTAAGAGAAGAATGATTTTCATTTTTTTACATCTCAATACTGGTCATTAAAAGAGAAACTTATATAATTATGGCCAAAATTATTTTGTCAAAAACTTATAATGCTTGGTGTTAGCATGTTTATGCACAACTCAGTTTCTGGTGTGAAGTTCTTTGGCTGCAAGAAAGAAGATTTGGTTTACTTCACTACTAAGAATATCTCTTAACCCTGGTATGGCCTCTTCTAGGAATTTCTTCTGCTGTTGATTTTTAGCACAGTTATTGTGATTGCATGAGTGGAGTTGAGTGGAGAAGCACTCATTATGTTAATTCCAAGTAAGAGTATATAACTGATCACTACAGTAATAAGGAGGTATGCGGGTAACGCAACTGTCCAATGCTGAAGCCAAACTGGCAGCTTAAGAAATGAACAAAGCCACACATGGGTCTTTCTGGCAATGGTGATGGCAAATTTCCCGCCATTGGACAGTCTCAGTGCTGAGTTATTCTGCGCAAGCGCTGCCAGGGAGCTGCAGTTGGGGAGAAAGAGGCAAATTCCAGGGAAAGGCCAAGGTGCAATGGCGCTGCCCTCTCTGGCACTGTATCTACTTTTAATCAATTGAAACAGGCACAGCAGATGTGAAGCTGCCTGTGGGTGGGTGGGTTTTGAGGAAGACTGGAAATAAGGGAGAAGAATTCTGTACCCTTGTTCTTACCGGGTCTGGGCTATAGATGAAGAAGTGGCAGTGGAAGGAGGGTCAAAGACACTGTGCTGCAAAGAAAGGGGGTGTTCTGCATTCTGCAGTGGCCTTGAGTTCTGGATGGCCTTTAGCTGATTCCTCAGAAAGAGATTTTCCCCACTTCATCCAATAAAACTAGAAGCAATGGCACCTTAGAGAGGCCACAGAGGAGGGTGTTAGGAACAGTGATGGATGCAGCATAATCCCAGTTTGTTAATGAGGAGCAGCAGCAAATGGAGGTGGGAAATCAGCCTCCTGTCCAGCAAGAAAGCAAAGTGCCCCAGGAGAAGTGGGTAGGGGTACCCTGAAGCCCCAAGGTAAGGTCTGCAGATCAGTGCAAGTTTTAGGGCTCTCTTTTTTTCTCTCTTCCATCATTTTCTGAAACTCAGATTATGTGTAGTGAACTTCCTTGAATGTGACTTGTTACTGGAAATTCTGAAGATTGGCTCATGTTAGGAAGGGGTGGGACTTATTTTAACTGATGTAAAGGGCCATGACTTAAATACACTTGTCATTAAAACAGAAAATGAGGAAAAAACAGAAACTTCACAATCAGTACAGTACTTTTTCTTCCTTTTTAAAAGTCCTATATGCATTATTACCCTTTGTACATATATGATTACATGACCTGCATAACTCTACATTGTGTACAACCAGAAGAATGGGAAGCTACAATATCCATTTATGTATGATGTGTCAAAATGCACTCTACTGTCATGCATAACTAATTATAACAAATTAAAAATATTTAAAAATCTTTCTTTTTTTTTTTTAATAAAATATATGGAAAAAGCACCAAGAGTCAAAAGTGGATATGAATGACTCGGTTCAGGCTTCCCTTCTAGAGAGCAGCATGCCTCAATTTAGAATGAAGACAGGCACTCAAGTAAGCATCTCACAATGAAGAGTCTTCTGTCTGGAGGTGTGAAAGGGTTGTCCTGCCTGTTCTTGTGGTTTTTCTGCAGGGACAGGAGTTCTAGTCAGTGATGGAGGCCAGGACACCTTGAGACCTCTTGAACAGAGGCACTGTCCAGCGTTTGGCTTTGACATCAAGAGTGCCTCCTCTTGCTCCTTTTCAGAAATAACTGTATGGTAATTTTTAAAGCCAAAGGAAGAGGTGGATACATACACCGCCATTTAGCATACAAGTGAGTTTGGCCCTGGCTGGTCTTTCATGTGGGCAGAGCTGCAGCTGCCTATGTGCCTAGTGATCTGAAGACCCTCTCACTCATTTCCCTGATGCCCTCGGTGTCTCCACTAAATCTGCTTCTTGGGTCAAGTCATTCTTCTCAAGGTTCCTGCTGAAATGAACATCATCTCCCTGGGAAGAGCAGTATGTTAGTGCTGAGTCCCACGAACACCTGAGGGAACCACACGGATGAAGAAGGAGTTTGTGGTTCTAATAGTAAGGGGTTAGATAGCAACATCATAGCTGATTTGAAGGGGAACTTAGAGGAAACTGAATGGCCAAACTGTTGAAAGTTTGGGATCATACATGCTGGCTATTTATCCTATGGATGAAATGAAAAGCCAGACTCCTCCTTTGGCCACTCAACTGATGAGTCAGAAAGACGGTAAATAATTCAGGTGCCCTGGGGCACCTTTTCCCTAAAGGCTACCTACTCTAATGCCCTTGGAAATGAAGCTTGACTGTCTGCTTTTCATCAGCAGGCAATGTCAGGGTAACACACCTCTGTAAAACACATCAGATTTTGGAAGGAAAATGCTGAGAAACAGAAGCAAAGAGAAAGATTGTTTTCTGACTTTCTTATTTCACTGGTACCAGGTACTATGGACCAAACGTGGGTTTCTGGGCTGTCCTGTCCCTTGGCTTCTCAACACTGCATTTTTAGTAATATCATCAATGGCTAAAAGAGATGTATAGACTCCATCTTTTTTCTTTTTCTTTCTTTCCTTTTCATTTAACAAATAAGGTTTTTCTATATTGCCCAGGCTGACCCCAAACTCCTGGAGTCAAGGGATCCTCCTGCCTCAGCTTTTCTACTTGCCCAGTGGAAACTCCATCTTGCCCATAATTGATTACATCCTTGAATTAGTCATTCCCTCCCTCTCCCTGAAACATCTACTTTTGGTGGCCACTCCTGCTTAAGTGGTGCTTAGTAAGGGTATTTGTATAGAAATAGGAGTGCACAGCTATCGTCTCTCCCTGGTCTGCTTGGAAAACAGTTGTGTGCATATTGATCTCCTGACACTGAAAACCATACAGATCAACCTGTGATTTAGGGAAGGAGCATTAGCTCTAGGCACGGTCAGGTTTGGCATTCCTTGGTATGTCTGGGTTTGTAACTCCCGAGGGTTTATACACCTGATTGAGGGAATCTCCCATGAAACACCAGGTGACGTTTAGGCAGCCCAGTTGGCCTGGCTGTCTGCAGCTGTGGTCACCAGAGAAAGAGGCTCACAACACACCATCGTTATTTTCCCCTGTAGGAACTGAACTCTCTGTAAAACTAATGACTGACTCTGGACAACTCCTTCAATCACCTAAAGTAAATCTCCTCATGGTGGCTCTGCTCCAGGCTGGGCCAGGACATCAACCCTCATATTTTCCTTAAAAAGGAATCAGGTCTCACTTAGCCCCCACAATGACCACGTGACATAAGGTGTGTGTCCAAAATGACCAAACCCATCCGTGTGAATAAAAAATGACTCTGGAAGGGGTTTTAGTAAGCGTTTTGAGAGTCAGAGCAATTTGTATTTTGATAAAGAAGAAAAAAGTCACTAAGGTTACCTGGCAATAAATCACAAAGGAAATAGCAAACAAAATCTTCTAGGCAATCCTCCCTTTTCTCCCCGTTTCTCCCTTCCTTCCCATCCTGGAAGCTGGGGGGAGATATGTGGAGAACCATCTGCATCTGAAATCTGGGCCTGCCCTGTCTTTCTGGATCCTGCCTCCTGGAGAGGCATCACAGCAAAATTCCATGTGGGAAAAGGAGGGATGAATTTGAGGAGAGGTGGTGAAACATGCATTGGTCTGAAAATTTTAGTTGCCCAAAATAGCTTTCACTTTGTCCCATGGATGGGGCATTGGGAAGACCTTATGTGGCAGCTGGTAGAAATAGCTGGACATTTGCTAAGAGAAATGTCCAGTTTTCCTTATGCACAACAGCTGGTAGCCTGTTACCCAAGCTCAGAGAACATCCACCACTGTCCACCTTTTAGCTCTCCTGTTGGGAAGGGGTTGAGGCATGAGGACCAGGCACCCCTAGCAGCAGCTGGA